GGCGAAGCTTGCTTTAGAGAGCTGTCCAATCACTGCTTTAATATGACCAATGATAAGGAATTCCCCAGCTCTCTTTGGATTTCACTCTGAAATTTCTTTTCAGTAATTTACATCCATTGTTCTATCTCTTGCTCTGTAGGATGAGACAAAGTAACCTTCCATTTGAGAGGTATTATATCCTTTCAGATACTTGAAGAATGCTCCCTTTCTATAGTCTTTACTCAAAAGTAAGCATTGCTGAAAATAGACAGGTATCATTACAATGCATATTATACATGTGCAGGTCACTAAAGCATTTAAAAGAAAATTCTTTACTGAGGCCACATACGTCCCATGCCTAATTTGTATAATGTGGATGTTCTGATTCTCCAGGTTGTAGATCATATGGTCCAATCCTCTTCTGAATTAAAAATCCATTAAATCATATCTTGACAGGTGACCACCCAGCTTCTGGTTTGAAAACCTCTAGCAAATAGGAGTCTATCAGTGTCCTGGGTAGACTCTTCTAAGCCATACTTAACATCAGGAAATTCATCCAGATATTCAGCACAAATCTCCTTTAATTTCAACCTATTGTCACATCTCTGTGCCTCACTTTCAGATTTGCTTCATTTTGAATAGTTGTTTATAGAAACTGCCAGGTCTCCGTTAAATCTTTGCTCTTGAAAAGTAAACATAGCCAGCTCTTTTTTTCTTATGGTTTTGTTTTCATGTGTCTTATTTTCTGGAAGTTTATGTCTGAAACCAGTCTAGCTTATCCACATGACTGGATATTACGTAGGACTGGACACTAGTCTTTCAAGGATGGTCTACTAACCAATACCGGCAGTGGAGTCATCTCCCACAGTCTTTATCCTTCTATGTTATCCTTCTATTAAATGTTCTGTCAAAAATGCATTAACCTTTGTAGCTGCCTCATTGCATTGTTTATTACTAGTCAGCTGTGGTCCACTGAGACTCTTCAATCCTTTTTCCACATACTGCTGCCAGATCAGGTCTTCCTAATTCTGTACCTGTGCATTTGATTTTTCCTCTATCCAAGTGCAAGGCTGTGATTAAGCATAATCTTTTAGGACTTCATTGTTTTGAATTATGTTTTTGCCTTCTAAGTGTTACATAATTTCCTTAGTTTACATCAGCTGAAAATTAGGCAAGGATTCCTTCCTTTCCATCCTTTCTTTTTTCTTTTCTTTCTCCTTCCCTCAATTTCCTATGTGTGGTTTCACAATTTGGAAAGGGAACCATGACCTTCTAGCTTGCTCCTGTATATTACCAGTGGAAGATGTAGATGCATGAACATCATGAGATAAGAAAGACTGAAATTCTCTGAAATTCTGTGTTTTGTCGTAGAATTTTGACAGCTGGATCTTGAGTGCATTGAGATCTGAAATGAGATCCTTGGTGTCTTTTTTATTTTTTAAAATATGTTTTAATATTGAATTACACCAAGAAAAAATGCAAAACTTGTGAATACAAATAAAACAGCATGTACACTATATGTGTACATACACAGATATTCTCTCTCTCTCTCTCTCTCTCTCTCTCTCACACACACACACACACACACACACACACACACAGAGAGAGAGAGAGAGAGAGAGAGAGAGAGAGAGATGCACCATATAAAACAACCTAACAAACAAGAGAAAAGACAAATAGTAAATCAAATAATACAATACTAATAACATTTATAGAAAAATTGCCATGACACAACTTTTAAACAGCAGATTGAATCTTGACCACAGGGAATCATATTGCCTGGTTTTTCCTCTATTGATAGACCACCAATTCAGAATCTGAGAGCAGACACATTTCATCAAAAGAACCTTTTGATTATAATAAATCCAGAAATTTTAATAAATAGATAAACTGTTTAAACATAATTTTTATGTTTAAACACATGGGCATCCTTAAACTTTCTTTTCTTCCCCAAAAAATTACTATAGCAAGAATATCCAGTTAATAAGTTAACAAGGGACATGACCATGTTATGTAAACACCTCAAAGGTATTACATCTCCAACATCGGAAATTGTGTAGACTTTCTAAACAACCTTTGAAGAGTCTAATAAACCTACAAAAAGATTTTTTATGAATTAATCTTATTTTAAAATCAAAAGAAATATATCAACATTTCTTAAGCTTGTGAAACTCCACTTTCAAGTCCTGCATGTTATCAATATATATTCTCTTTTTAATTGTCAATAAAAGTGAATGGTAATATAGGTTATTTTTTAAAAATATATATTTTTACATTATGTTTGAAAAGGAAAGCTTGGAGTTTGAGCTTTCCAAAAAAATTAATCATTAATTTAGTAATTTGTTTAAGTAGAATTAACATAGATATCATCTTAGAATATATATCAATCTTGAACCAATACTCATGTTCACAGCATTTATTCTTTCCCATAAACTTTCACCCATCTATTAAAATCACCATTATTCCCCATTATGCAATTTGAAATATCCATCTCTATCAAAATGATGAGTTGCTGGCTACCATACGTGGTCTATGGCTTGGTCTCCAAGTATAAGGAACTATTGAGTAGGGATCAGACAATTCAAAACAATCTGTGGAACAGCTTGCCTTCAGAAGTTGTGGGTGCTTCATCACTGGGTTAGTTTTTTTGAAGAGACTGACTGGACAGTCACTTGTCTGAAATGGTATAGGGTCTCCTGCATGAGCAGTGGGCTGGACTAGACCCCCAAGGTCCCTTCCAGGTCTATTCTGATTGATTAATTGGCATAAAGCACAACTAGTTTTTACATACATTACTTCAGGGTATGTTTGATTATTGATTTAGTTGGAAGTAAATTGAATTAAGTCTGTAGTTTCTTGTTAATGACTTTAGCATCATAATGCTATTCCTGTTCAGGTCATATAAGTTAGGTAGAACCACTTTGGTCTAGTGGTTAAGGCACCAGGCTAGAAACCAGGAAACTGTGAGTTCTAGTCCTGTCTTAGGCATGAAAGCCAGCTGGGTGACCTTGGGCCAGCCACTCTCTCTCAGTGCAACCCATTTCACAGAATTGTGGTCCTGAAGAAAGTAAGAAGAGGAAGGAGCATTATGTATTTGCGCTGCTGCCTTGAGTTGGTTATAAAATAAAAATGGGAGGAATTTAAATTAAATAAAAAACAGGCTATTTTTTTTAATAGTAGGAACAAACATTATAGCTACAGGAAGCCAATCTTATGGGAAAATAGGAAGATCCCATTTCAATATTGTCTGATCACTCACCATCATCCTTTAGTGACTGAACTGATTTTCTTTCTGCTCTAACACAACTTCTTTTCTGCAGTTTACAACACTGGAGCTCAGTGAGGCTTAACAGGGGGCTATTTTCCCATATTGCTTCACTATACCTCTCATTTTTGGAACTCAGAATTCTTTAATAAGTTTCCCAGGCAACTTTATCAACAAACCTAATAATTCTAATCATTTTCTAATTCTTGTAATAAAGTGCCTGCTTTGAGTTTTCTCTGTTTATATAACCAGGATGTGTTGAACTGTTGTCTCATTCCATTTTCCAGTTTCTCTTCTCTTTCCTCAAAATGACAGTGTCATGCCACCAGCACAAATTGTAGTAGATGTATAGGTTTATACAGGAAAACTGTACTTGGATTGTCAGGGAGTTTTCCTTTCCCTCATCCCTCTCATTTTTTTTTTCAAAACAGCCAGAAAGAGCACAGCGCTTATACTGAAAACATAGGAAGAGGCAGGGATAGCTATTTTATTCCATTTATGTTGTTATAGCTCAGGGGCTGGCCACTGAATCAAGTTGGCTGATGACAATGTGTTGTTCTCTCTATTTTTAGCAACAGATTGCATAATTCATGGTGAATGGCCGAGTTTAATGGGTGTTAGAAGCATCAACTCTCCTAGTCCACAGTGTCAGCAAATTTGTAGCATTTCAGATGGATTTATTTCTCAGACATGGCATTATGTCTTGAAAATAAGTTCCTTTTTCCTGCAAAACATAAGAAAATCATTGAACTGGGAGGAGACTTTCCAGTGTCCCTGAATGGTATTTTCAGAAAGAAAAACATTTCTGAAGGTGTAGCAGCTTATCAGACTAAGCTGCAAAAGCAGCAACACCATCTGAAATTATTTTTGTGCCGAGCTGTTATAAGAGACCCAGTTTAGTGTAATGGTTAAAAGGGCACACTGAGAAACTAGAAGGCTGCGAATTCTATTCCTGCCTTAGGGACAAAGCCAGCTGGGTGACCTTGGGCCATTTACTTACTCTCAGTTCTAGGTAGAACGCAGCAGCAAATGACTATCAGAATGACTTTATCCAGGCAGTAGCCAGGAGTCAGAACTGACTTGAAAGCACAAAACACTAACACACAAAAACAGTGACTTGTGTGTAGTTTTGCCAGCTGTTCAGGATGCAGAACAGAACAAAGAATGTCAAGCTTCTCTACCAATTGTTCTATCAATTTCTACATTATGGGCAAGAGCAAGTTGACACAGGTTTAAAAAAAATTGAGTGCTCTCTCACATACTTCGTTGAAATCTTTGACCATTTTTAAAAAGCAAGACTGAGTGAGAAGATGATTCCTTATCTCAGGGAAGGATCTCTTTTATCTTAAGACATCATATGCTTGTCTGGTTTTGGCTTAATCTGTTAAGTGCACCCAGCCTCTAATGGGATATATATTAAAATAGTTAAAATTAAATTATGGTGACATGGTAAAATGAATTAGATTTATGTATTGGAAATTGACTCATAACTGACTTAGGCACAAATGTTTTTATTTAATTATTACAGTATAAATGTAATGGTTACTGCTTTGTCTCTATAAAATACAACTTAAATTTAGATGCTGACAACAATCCATTACTAATTAATCACTACTGATTGGTACCTAATGGAATATTTTTGATTGCTACATAGATTTTTAAACATTGGATCTTTGAAACTTTAAATGACTGCCAAGTGCTACAATCTGGCTTTGCTTTACCTGTGTTTTCTCCCATGCCCTGAATTTTTTTTAAGCAACCACACAACATTTTGCAGAAACGCCTCATGGAAACAAATATGTCAAGATTGCGGCACAGTCGAGGGACATGCTCTCAGAAAAATGATCTCTCAGCTCAGACAAATAAACTGAATCAAATGAAACTGGATAGTCCCCCCAAGACAGAGGAAGAGGATCTCATTCTCATATGCTGCCAGGTAAGCTTTTGTGTCCTGTAGGAGATCTGTTAGTCCATTTCCTTTACTTTTAAAAGGTTCTATATTCCTACATCTCAAGGTAGTAGAACTTTCCAGAACAAGACTCAGGAGCATTCTGTTCCAGGCTGCCTCAAATCTGAGGATAAATTTTAAGGCTGCCTGTATCTTGTTTGGATTAAACATCAGAGTTGAAAGTCACGAATGAAGGCGAATATACGTGTCCCAAGATAATGTTGTAGGATCCAGTCTGGGTCGGTCCCTGGGACCAGAGGTTTTGTCTTCCGAGCTTTCGGACTCGTTCTGGAGCCCATCTGTGCGCGAGCTGCATTGGCTGCCGGTGGCCTTCCGGGTGCGCTTCAAGGTGCTGACTATCATCTTTAAGGCGCTCCATGGCAGCGGACCGGGATACCTTCGAGACCGCCTTCTGCCACAGATTACCTCCCATCGGCCTGTA